CATAACTTACCCAAACTTATGGGACACAATGAAGGCAGTGCTAAGAGGAAAGTTCATAGCACTAAGTGCCTTCAAGAAGGAATTTGAAACATCTCATACGAGCAACTTAATGGCCCAACTGAAAGCCCTAGAAAAAAAAGAAGCAGATACATCCAAGAGGAGCAGACAGCTGGAAATAATCAAACTCAGGGCTGAAATCAATCAATTAGAAACAAATAAAACTATTCAAAGAATCAATGAAATCAAGAGCTGGTTCTTTGAGAAAATCAACAAGATAGACAAGCCATTAGCCAAACTAACAAAAAGGCAGAGAGAAACTATCCAAATTAGCAAAATCAGAAATGAAAAGGGGGACATAACTACAGACACTGAAGAAATCCAAACAATCATTAGGTCTTACTACAAAAGCGTATATGCCACAAAATTTGAAAATCTAAAAGAAATGGACAATTTTCTTGATAGATTCCATCTACCTAAATTAAGTAAAGATCAGGTAGAAAGATTGAATACTTCCATATCTCCCAAGGAAATAGAAGCAGTCATCAAAAGTCTCCCATCCAAAAAAAGCCCAGGGCCAGATGGTTTCAGTGCAGAATTCTATGAGACCTTCAGAGAAGAGCTAACTCCAATTCTCTTCAAACTATTCCACAAAATAGAAACAGAAGGAACATTACCAAACTCATTCTATGAAACCACAGTCACCTTGATACCTAAACCACACAAAGACCCAACAAAAAAAGGGAACTTCAGACTTATCTCTCTTATGAACACCGATGTAAAATACTCAATAAAATACTTGCAAACCAAATCCAAGAACACATCAAAGATATCATCTTCACGACCAACTAGGTAGGCTTCATCCCAGGAATGCAAGGGTGATTCAATATATGGCAATCCATCAATGTGATCCACCATATAAACAAACTGAAGGAGAAAAACCACATGATCATCTCCTTAGATGCCAAAAAAAGCATTTGACAAAATCCAACATCCATTCATGTTTTAAGTCTTGGACAGATCAGGGATACAAGGCACATACCTAAACATAGCAAAGACAATATACAGCAAACCTATAGCCAACATTAATCTCAATGGAGAGAAACTTAAATCAATCCCACTGAAATCAGAGACAAGACAAGGCTGCCCATTGTCTCCATATCTCTTCAACATAGTGGTGCAAGTCCTTGCTAGAGCAATAAGACAGTTGAAGGAGATCAAGGGAATACAAATTGGAGAAGAAGCAGTCACTATTTGCAGATGATATAATAGTATACATGAGCGACCCCAAAAATTCAACCAGAGAACTCCTTCAACTGATAAACACCTTCAGCAAAGTGGCTGGATACAAAATCAACTCAAAAAAATCAGAAGACCTCCTGTATACAAAAGACAAAATGGCCGAGAAGGAAATTAGGGAAACAACACTCTTCACAATAGCCACTAATAACATAAAGTACCTTGGGGTGACTCTAACCAAGCAAGTGAAAGACCTGTTTGAGAAAAACTTCAAATCTCTGAAGAAAGAAATTGAAGAAGATATCAGAAAATGGAAAGATCTTCCGTGCTCATGGATTGGTAGGATTAACATAGTGAAAATGGCATTCTGCCAAAAGCAATCTACAGATTCAACACAGTTCCTATCAAAATACCAACACAATTCTTTATAGACCTTGAAAGAAAAATTCTCAACTTCATATGGAGAAACAAACAAACAAGCAAACAAACAACAACAACAACAAAAACCCCAGAATTTTCAAAACGATCTTGTACAACAACAGGTCATCTGGAGGTATCTCCATCCCTGATTCTCAAGCTGTACTACAGAGCAACAGTAATAAAAACTGCATGATATTGGCATAGAAACAGAAGAGTGGATCAATGGAACCAAATAGAAGACCCAGAAATAAACCCACACACCTATGGAAACTTGATTTTTGATAAAGAAGCCAAAACCATTGAATGAAAAAAAAGAGAGCATCTTCAACAAATGGTGCTGGTCCAACTGGATGTCTACATGTAGAAAAATGCAAATAGATCCATATTTATCACTCTGCACAAAACTAAAGTCCAAGTGGATCAAAGACCTCAACATAAAACTAGACACATTAAATCGGTTAGAAGAAAAGGTGGGGAAGAGCTTTGAGCTCATTGGCACAGGAGACTACTTTCATGAACATAACACCAACAGCACAGGCTCTAAGATCAACAATAAACAAACGGGACTTCATGAAACTGAAAAGCTTCTGTGAAGCAAAAGACACTGTCATCAAAACAAAACGGGAGCCTACAGATTGGGAAAGGATCTTCACCAACCCTACATATGACAGAGGGCTAATATCCAGTATATATAAAGAACTCAAGAAGTTAAAAAGCAACAAATCAAGTAATCCAATTAAAAAAATGGAGTATGGAGCTAAAGAGAGAACTCTTTGTAGAGAATTGTAGAATGGCAGAAAAACACTTAAAGAAATGCTCAATGTCCTTAGACATCAGGGAGATTCGAATCAAAACGACCCTGAGATTTCGCCTTACACCCATAAGAATGGCTAAGATCAAAAACTCAAGTGACAACACATGCTGGAGAGGTTGTGGAGAAAGGGGAACCCTCCTCCATTGCTGGTGGGAATACTTGTACAACCACTTTGAAGATCAATCTGGCACTTTCTCAGACAATTAGGAATAGTGATTCCTCAAGATCCAGTTATACCATTCCTAGGCATATATTCAAAAGATTCTCAAGTACACAACAAGGACATTTGCTTAACCATGTTTGTAGCAGTTTTATTTGTAATAGTCAGAACCTGGAAACAACCCAGATGTCCCTCAGTTGAGGAATGGATACAGAAATTGTGGTACTTTTACACAATGGAATACTACTCAGCAATTAAAAATTAAGAAATCATGAAATTTGCAGGCAAATGGTGGGACCTAGAAATGATCATCCTGAGTGAGGTATCCCAAAAGCAGAAAGGTACACATGGTATATACTCACTTTTATAGACCTATATGATAGGATAAACATTCTGAAATCTATATACCTAAAGAAGATAAACAAGAAAGAGGATCCAGGATAAGATGACCAATCCTCACTTAGAAAGACAAATGGGATGGACATTGGATGTAGGAGAAAACAAGTAACAGGATAGGAGCCTACTGCAGAGGGCCTCTGAAAGACTCTACCTAGCAGTGTATCAAAGCAGATATTAAGACTCATAACCAAACCTTCGGCAGAGTGCATGAAAGAATGGGGAGTTAGTAAGACCTGGAGAGGACAGGAGCTCCACAAAGACCAAATATATCATGGCACAGGTGTCTTTTATGAGACTGTTTCTCCAACCAAGGACCATGTATGGATATAACCTTGAACCCCTGCTCGGATATAGCCCATGGTAGGTCAGTATCCAAGTGGGTTCTCTAGATTGGGGAACAGGGACTGTTTCTGACATGAACTCAATGGCTGGCTCTTTGACTCCCCCACCCCTCCTGAGGGAAGAGTAGACTTGCTAGGCTCCAGAAGAGGACATTGCAGCCAGTCCTGAAGAGACCTGGTAAGGTAGGGTCAGATGGAAGGGGAGGAGGTCCTCCCCTAGCATTGGACTTGAAAAAGGGCAGGGAGAAGATGAGGGAGGGATGGTGGGATTGGGAGGGACTGAGGGAGTGGGCTATGGCTGGGATACAAAGGAAATAACCTATGAGTAATATAAGGAAATAAAAATTATTATAAAAAAAAGAAATAGTTTTGCTACAAAACAAAACAAAACAAAACAAAACAAAACAAAACAAAACAAAACAAAACAAGAGCCTCCTGTGGGCATCAGGTGCAGTGACACTAAGGGCCACAGGGGGCAGCAGAGTTCTATTTATGAGGCTCATGGGGTTAGCAGGATAGCTGCTTGGAGGGTTGGGAGCTGCAGTGATTTTTTCCCCTGTACACTTAGATGAGCTATATACTTTTGAGAGGAGGTAAATTGATTAAACCCCATTTTTTCTCACATCATATAAGACACCTGCTGCCACACAATCTGTGTTTGTGGTTCCAGACTTTGATTATACGTCTGAACCAGGCTTGTCAGGGACTCTGTGGTGTCATTAGTCTCCCCCACCCCCTTTCCTTAATGAGCTTCTTGGAGGAAACCAGATATTGCTTTTCCTTATATAAAACTAAGACACACGACAGCACAAATGATGAACCTGGAAAAACTGTGTGACATATTTCTTAGGCATTCAGATCAACAGAAGCCGCTTGTATCTCCCATTGAGAACCGATCAGCCTACATGCCTGAAGGAATACCAATGGTCAGGAATGAAATACACTAAGGATTGGAGGGGGCTGACAGCTGGGACTCAGACAGGGTCAGAGATAAAGTGTGTACACAGAGATGGGATTTAAAAAATTCTAGACTTTGGAGGTATCCAGATACAATTCTCAGGTCTCATATAATACAGGAGAAAAACCAACACCATCTTAATGTGAAGAAATTCCAAAACTTTCAAGCAAAATCCCAAAGAATAAAACCATTTATAAATAGTTTAACTATAAACTCAAATAAAAATATGTTCAGAAGAATAAAAAAGGGGCTAATATTCACAGTGTTTACCTCCAAGTCCCCCCAAAATGTAAGAAATATAAGTCAAAATAAAAAAGAAAAATTGACTCCTAGAAACTGACCCAGAATAACAGTGGGGCAAAATACATTCCAATTACTGAAAATGTGGTCACTAATGTTATTTTGCATCTCATGGTTCAGAGGAGACTGCCCTGCTTCTTCCGCCTTTTTTCTCCAGGTAAGTTTATAGACATCACGTTTGACCCTATTTAACCTAACCTCAGCTAACCTGTCTAGACTCATTCCTGCCACACCCAATAACTGTTACATAACTACTCAAGTTGTCTGGGCAACCACCAGGGCTGGGAGCCTGGGAAGCCCTTTGTCCCCTGTCAGTGTTTCATAGACCAGGCAGAGGTCACAGCAGAGGGGGCCTACCTAGCTTCATCCAGCATGTTATCTCTGAGCTGGGACGTGAGGCTGGTGGGCAGACCTGTGACTCCTAGGGTCCCCCTCTCACTGGTTACACTCTGGGTGCTCCTTTTGGTTCCAAGCCAGTGTTTTCAAGGCCATCCCACATGGCGTTATACCTCATCAGAGGTGGTTATTCCTCAAAAGGAGATCTTCCATGGCAAAGGATTTCAAGCACGAGGGCGGATCTCTTATAGCTTGCGTTTTAGGGGTAAGAGACATGTCATTCACCTGCGAAGAAAGACACTTATTTGGCCCCGACACTTGTTGCTGACAACTCAGGATGACCAAGGAGCTTTACAGATGGATTATCCTTTTTTCCCTGAAGATTGTTACTATCTTGGCTTCCTGGAGGGGATCCCTCAGTCGATGGTCACTGTGGACACTTGTTATGGGGGCTTGAATGGTTTCATGAAGTTGGATGACCTTGCCTATGAGATCAAACCCCTCAATGATTCACACAGGTTTGAACACCTTATTTCTCAGATAGTAGCTGATTCTGATGCAATAGGGCCTATGTATGAATGGACACAGGTGCACCATAGTACAGACCTTCCTTTCTCTGGAACACATGCTGACGGGGCTCCCAGAATGTCTAGTAGGGATTATGCTTCACATTCAGCTGCTATAAAAGGCCATTTTCTAGCAACCCATTCTACATTTTCAAAATCTGGAAGTCTTCAGAGGACTACCCAATATTTATTTTCACTAGTCAGTTTAATGGACACCTATTTGAACAATATTCATATGCGGTACTATGTTTTTCTCTTAACTGTGTTTAATCAAAAGGATCCATTTAGTCACAACTTTAAAGTACCAGGAGGTGATATTCATAGGTACTATAAGACAACCTTTTATAACAGATTAAGGCCTGATGCAGCAACATTAATTAACAGCCAAGGGCCCCCTGATGCATCCTCTTTTCCAGTTATAGGTAGTATATGCAGTGAAAATGCCCTAACTTGTATTGGTCAAAATGACAGACCTACCATAATATTGTCTGTTATAGTAGCCAATCGCATTGGAAGTAGTTTAGGTTTGCCTTATGATAATGAGGCTACCTGCATTTGCCAGAGAAGGGCCACCTGCATCATGTTCAGAAACCCTCAATTAACAGATGCTTTCAGCAATTGTTCACTCGTGAAGCTAAACCACATCCTTAATACCCCCGGCATGATGCCGTGTCTTTACTATGACTATCACACTTACTATAATACGTCGTACACCTATAAGATATGTGGAAACTTCATAGTGGATGGGGATGAGCAATGTGATTGTGGCTCACACAAGGCATGCTATGCAGACCTTTGCTGTAACAGTAACTGCAAGCTCACAAAGAATAGCATTTGTGATAGAGAATTATGCTGTGCAAACTGCACCTACAGTCCCCCTGGGACCCTTTGCAGAACTATCGAAAACATATGTGACCTTCCAGAGTACTGCAATGGGAGAACAGTCTCTTGCCCAGCTAACACGTATCTGCAAGATGGAACACCGTGCTCAGAAGAGGGGTACTGCTATAAAGGAAACTGCACCGATCGCAGTGTACATTGCAAAGAAATCTTCGGTGCAAGTGCTGAAAGGGCTAATACAATGTGCTATAACATTAATAAGCAAAGTTTTCGATTTGGGCATTGTTTTCGGCCACAAGAAAGCCTCACATTCAGTCCTTGCACGGATGAACATAAGTTGTGTGGAAGGTTGCAGTGTACCAATGTCACCAGTCTTCCACAGCTGCAGGACCATGTTTCGTTCCATCAGTCAGTTATCTCTGGGTTTACCTGTTTCGGGCTTGATGAACATCGCTCAACAGGAACAACAGATGCTGGAAAGGTGAGACATGGTACTCCGTGTTCCCAAACTAAGTTCTGCGATCGAGGGTCTTGCAATGGGACTTTATCTGATCTGGATTATGACTGTTCTCCAGAGAAGTGCAATTTTAGAGGAATATGCAATAATAATCGGAATTGCCATTGTCATGTAGGTTGGGAACCTCCAGACTGTGTAGGAGATGGTCCTGGTGGGAGTATAGACAGCGGACCACTTCCACTTAAAATGCACACAATACAGCAGAGCCAAGAACCAGTGGTATATTTAAGACTGATCGTTGGTCGTATTTATGCCTTCATATGCATACTGCTCTTTGGAGTGGCTGTTCGCGTAGGAGTTACTAAGATTATCAAGTATGAAGACCTGATAGCTGCCTTGCAACGTGGAAAGGGACACGCGGCCGCTGCGCCAAAGTAAAGCTGAGCTAGCCTTCTGGCCCCTGTAACGTAAAGAGAATAAAGAGGAAACGCTGAATGTCAGAAGACAAGGTAAAGCTCACATCCACAGTTCCGGAGAGCCTAAGCATATGGGACGCCACCTGCCTTTGATAGCTCATTGATGCTCACCCTGGAATAAATCTCTTGAAACTGCCAGTGGGTACTTTTGATTCTGTGCTTTTGATAAGTTGTTAGGAGCTGCACTTAAGCTTGCTCCTCTTGTATTGGGGAGATCTTGAGCCAGGCTCTGGGTCCTGGCAGTAGGTCTTTGGTCTGAGGATTAATGGAAGTTTTCTACATCTCTTTTAGGAACATGCCTAGGCAATTTCTATAAAATGTGGTTCCTAAGTGCGAGGCATCCCCGCCACCCACTGTCATCTTTGTCAATGGTCCCTTCTCCCATGGCTTGGGATGTGATTTTTCAGGGCTATTGCTTAGAGGATGAAGGGAGTGAAGGCAGACTTGGTATCCAGATGAGGAAGTCTTAGAGAACATAGAAGTATTACCTCATATTAAGCCAAGGAGCTGATGTTTAGAACATCACTATTAACACAGATTCATGTCTCACTAAGTACACAACCTCACGGAAACAGCCTTTCCAGAGCCCCATGGTCAAAGCACAGCAAAGAACCCAGTCTGATAAAAGGATATGCTGAGTCTCATGGCAAAATGTACTGAGAGCACCAGCCAGAGATTCTGTGCTCAGGGTGCCCCAAGTCTGGGTGCAACCTTTGGCCTTGCTTGCCAGTATTCCCTGAGATAATCTGTGGTATGTGCCAGACAATTGTGATTTATCCTGAGGGAGTTTGTGGAAAGGGCTGCTTTGCTAACATTTAGTATGTGCTCAATCAACTTTTTAAAACTTTCATTAATTACACTTTATTCACTTTTTATCCCCCTGCTCAATTAACTTTTATTCACATGTTTTTCTGAACTCAAATAACCTTCCTTGAAAGGTTATTCCTTGCTGCATCCATGTGTAAAAGTGCAGTGGAAATGAAGTCAAGTCATCTGCAGCACTTGATTGTAGTCTTTTCAGCTCTCTTCACCCCCAGGATCCCCCCTGGCATTGACAATAGGTCATTCACACCCTACTACTGTAGGAGGGAGGTGCATGCGATAGTGACTGCTGCTCTGACTGGTGCTCGTGCAGTTTCTAAGTTCTGGTGGTAGAAAAGCCACCACTGGGTCCCCAGTCCAGGAGGATTAAGCGGGGCAATGGGATTGACTTTGGTGCGGATGTGCCGCCACCTGACTAGGCTGAGAGTCTGCAGTTCCTCGCTCCGGAGGCCGTGGAGCCCACTGCCTTGTTTTTAAACCAGAGCATAGAAAATCCACCTTAGGCCCGTTTCTTCATATATAGGTGTGCAGGCTGTATTTGCTAGGCTGACTTCATCCAGCATAGTGACTGCTTACCAGAGTTACAGACGCTGGGACATGTGCAAGGACTCACCACAGGGGACCCTGCTGTGAGACTGTTTCCCTCAGGGAGTCATGAATAACATCTGCTCTTTTCTTATAAGGTCCCAATTGATCTGAATCAGGCCATTCTTCAATGACAGGGTCCTGAGGGGGAGGACTGTGAAGGGAAGACAGGAAAGTGTGTGTGTGAGTGTGTGTGTGTGTGTGTGTGTGTGTGTGTGTACTATTTAATGGCAGGCACAGACATGTTATTTTTAGCTAAAGGGAGGGTAATTGTTCAATGGAAACAATGTGTTTGGAAGTGGGAACAAGTATCTCTTTAGGCATTTAGACCCAGCTGAAGACGCTGGGGCCAACACCTGAGTTTGAAGTGGGAAGGCCAAACCCGACGAACAGGATCAGATTATCAGCTCAGACTGCACTGGAAAAATCTGGCAGTAGCAGATATTTTGATGGGGAAGGGGCTCACTAGCCCAATTACCATCTGAGAGAAAGCTTGGAGAATTAGGCTTAGAAGTTTGAGCTGGTAAAATTTGATTTGTGGAAACGCACGAAGGAAGGAGCAAACATAGAAGAGACTTGAAGGTGGGAAATACTTTAGACCTTTCGTCATTTCAGTTTATGATGTCTGAGTCAGTGCTTGTCCGCCCCCACAAGCACTTTCAACTGATCCTTTGTCTCCCTCTAGAGGCCAGCAGTACCTGGAGGAGCCAGTTGTTGTCTGCTTGTCCTATTGGGCCACCTGCAAGCTCTGCTCTGGGGCTTGTGAGTCTGACCTCTCTTATATTTATATTTTATGGCTGTACATACTGTTTTTTCATACCCAGGCCCCTGTTCTGGGTGCCAGTTGATCTGAGCTAGCAGGCTATTTTTTTCTTTTCTTTTCTTTTTCTTTTTTTTTTTTTTACAGTGAAAGGGTCCAGAGGAGGATAAAATAAAGAAGACAGGAAACTTGGAAGCGTGAAATTGTGCATAAGCTGATGGGTTATACAAAGAAAGTTTATTAAGAAGTACAACATCTTATATACAGTTTGCAAGGAAAAATGGGACAGGATCAGCAGAAAGCTCTCATACAATGAGACTACGTTATCAGGAAGTTAATCAAGAAATGTTGCTCAAAGGGAACACAGGATGTGCTCACAGACTGAACACACAGTGGCCTTGGAACTGATAACCAAAGTGGGAGGAGAAGGGTTGAGTTTCCAAGATCCCAAAATCACAGATCCCCCAATTTCTTAACCCTAGTCCATAATTGGCCTTGCCAAGCATATTTCTTAGTCGAGACAATGAATTACATTCCTTCCCCATAAGTAAGAACCTCAGGAATAGTCCCCCCACCAAGGCCCCGACACTAGACTATTACTGGCTTTGCCAAGTAAGTTTCTTCTCCATACACTGGAGTCTTAGGAAAAGCCTAAGATTGGCCTGTCTCCTAACACACAATGAGAGACCAAAGTTTAATTCCACCGAAGTTTGCAGTGCGGGAGCCAGTGAGTTTATTAGGCTTACTGACAGAGCGTGAGTGGGACTTATGGGCAAGAATACCAGTGATTCTAGAGCAGCCATGCCGGTAGGTCTGCACCCAGCATGGCCGAGTACTTGGTGTCCCTTTCAGTTAACCTGTATTCCAGGCCTATGTTTCAGCACTTCCTAAGACTCCTTAAACTACTTGTAATTGTGGAAAAACTACATACAAGTGGTTTGGCATGGTGGCTGGAAACTCAGGTGAGGGTGTGACGACTCCCCCCTCGCCACGCCACGCCTTAGGAAGGAAAAACAGGAGTTTACAGGCCCAACTAGGATGGTCCTTAACAAGTAGACATGGCTGCTCTCATGAAGACGGCAGCAGTCTGGGCTTGTGCTACCTCACTCAAGTTGATCTTGTCCATATCCATCCAATTTGCCTACAAATTTCATAATGTCTTTGCTTTTAATAGCTGGATAGTATTCCATTGTGTAGATGTGCCACAATTTCTTTATCCGTTCTTCAGTTGAAGGACATCTGAGCTGTTTCCAGATTCTGGCTATTCTGAATAAAGCTGCTTTGTACACAGTTGAGCAAATGTCCTTGTTGTATAGTGGAGCATGCCCAGGAGTGGTATAGCTGGGTCTTGAGGTAGAGCTATTCCCAATTTTCTAAGAAAGTGCCAGATTGATTTCCAAAGTGGTTGGGCAAGTTTGCAGTCCCACCAGCAATGGAGGAGGGTTACCCTTTCTCCATATCCTTGCCAGCATGTTCTGTCACTTGAGTTTTTGATCCTAGCCATTAGAGTCCTTTTGATTTGCGTTTTCCTGATGACTAAGGATGTTGAGATTTCTTTAAGCGCTTCTCTTTCCATTCAATATTCTTCTATTGAGAATTCTCTGTTTAGCTCTGTACCCCATTTTTAAAAATTGGATTATTTGGTTTGTTGATGTTTAACTCCTTGATTTCCTTATATATTCTGGATACTAGCCCTCTGTTGAATGAAGGGTTGGTCAAGATCTTTTCCCAGTCTGTAGGCTGTTGTTTGGTTCTATTGACAGTGTCCTTTGCTTTACAGAAACATTTACTTTCATGAGGTTTCATTTATTAATTGTTGATCTTAAAGCCTGGGCTATTAGTGTTCTGTTCAGGAAGTTGTCTCCTGTGCCAATGAGTTCAAGGCTCTTCCCCACTTTTGATTCTAACAGGTTTAGTGTGTCTGGTTTATGTTGAGGTCTTTGATTGACTTGGATTTTAGTTTTGAGCAGAATGATAAGTATGGGTCTATTTGCATTTTTCTACATGTAGACATCCAGCTAGACCACCACCATTTGTTGAAGATGCTCTTTTTTCATGGTATGGTTTTGGCATCTCTGTAAAAAATCAGGTGTCCATAACTGTGTGGGTTTATTTAAGGGTCTTCTATTTGATTCCATTGATCCATCAGTTGGTTTCTATGCCAGTACCATGCAGTTTTTAATATTACTGCTCTATAGTACAGCTTGAGATCAGGGATGGAGATACCTCCAGAAGATCTTTTATTGTAGAGGATTGTTTTAGCAATTATGGGTTTTTTGTTATTCTGTATGAAGTTGAGAATTTTTCTTTCAAGGTCTGTAAAGAATTGTGTTGGTAATTTGATGGGAATTGCATTGAATGTGTAGATTGCTTTTGGTAAGATGGTCATTTTTACTATGTTAATCCTGCCAAGCCGTGAGCATGGGAGATCTTTCCATCTTCTGATAGCTTCTTCTAATTCTTTTTTCAGAGACTGGAAATTTTTTTCAAACAAATGTTTGACTTGCTTGGTTAGGGTCACACCAAGGTACTTTATGTGGTTAGTGGCTATTGTGAAGGGTGCTGTTTCCCTAATTTCTTTCTCTGCCCATTTGCCTTTTGTATACAGGAGGGCTACTGTCTATTTTTTGAGTTAATTTTGTATCTGGCCACTTTGCTGAAGGTGTTTATCAGCTGTAGGAATTCCCTTGTAGAATTTTTGGGGTCACTCAAGTATACTATCATATCATCTGCAAATAGTGATACTTTGACTTCTTCCTTTCCAATTTGTATCCCATTGATCTCCTTCAATTGTC